ACATACAATTTAACGGTAAGTAACCTGGGAAGTGACATCAAGAACGGGTGAAGAAGGTAGATACATAAAACAAACATTCATGCGTAGTGAAGAAGATAGATGTAGAAAACAAAGATACACGCGTAGTGAAGAAGATAGATGTAGAAAACAAAGATACATGCGTGGTGAAGAAGGTAGATACATAAAACAAACATACACGCGTAGTGAAGAAGGTAGATACATAAAACGAAGATACATGCGTAGTGAAGAAGGTAGAGAGGTAGAAAGAAATTAAAATATAAATGGACAATTGAAAAGAAACAGACAGATATGTGTGGTCAGGAAGACAGATAATGAGATAGCTAGGTGGACAGTATTTAGAAGAGCATGATACAGACAGTCAGGAAGGTAAATATAGAAGTTTACAGATTATTCAATATATATATATATATATACGTGGCGCCGTCTGAAAATATTAATGTTAGGCAGGTGTTGTTTTTTTTTAATTTATTTACTGTTTGAAATAAAACTGTTGCTTATTTTAAACTTCGATTAGAAAGTTGATAACTGTTAATACTTATGTTTAGCACGAGAGAACTTAACGCCCCCGTACTCTTATATCGATGTAAAGAGTGCGCGGCACTTTATTCACTTTGAAATTTAATAAGATTGCACAAACAACGGTCAGATTTTTCCAGAAAAAAACAACAAACAAAATCTTTGATTTTTGTTCAGCACGAAGCAACACAGTATATTATCTTTGGTGTGCCCTCCACGGGTATTGAAACCTGATTTATAGTGTTATAAGCCCTCAGACTCCTCGCTGAGCCACCTGTGGAGAAGGGGGCGGACGACCTATTTCCAACTAGTCGTGTTAGTTATTATTAAACGCAGTTTGCCTAGCCATCTCGATATAATAATGGGGGCTTACCAAGTGTTTCTCCAGTTCAGTTAGTTCCGAGAAAACAATTTTAATCGTCTTATCTTGTTTATGTTAAACCTGTTGTTATTAAAGCTTAAGAGTTTGAGAGCAAACGTCAAATGGAAAAGGAAACTTTTCCAATAACTTTTGATCTGTTGATTAAAACGCTTTTTTTTTATCAGTGCTTCCATGGCAACGAAATTAAGAGAGATATAGTCAGATCAAGTTTCTCGTCGTGAAAAACCTTTGTTTTCTAGTAAAAAATTATTAAAGTTACCTCCTCGAAAGTTAAACTAGTCACGTGTAATGTTTGTCTCTTCAGTAAATAATATAAGTCTACTGAAACTGAGAACAAGTATCTGTCTAGATTATGTTACTTTGACGTTCGGTGAATGGCGAATGTTTATGTGTTACCATGGTGATATATATATATATATATACGCACTCTATCGTCCTGAAGAGTATGGGGGGGGGGGGTATAACTGGAATTGCGTTTTGAATCATTTACTTAGTGTACTCTCGACCCTCCAACGATGGAATGCATAGAATTTCCCAATAATGAACAAAAAAACTAATGGTACTTTTAATTTCTTGAAAATAGGATATTATCACTCTGAGGATGAAACAAGTCAAGTATTGGGTTTCAAACCGACAATGATTTTGAAAGAATTTTTCTCGTAGATGAGCAGGAATGTATCATATGTTGCTTTGCATGCCATGAATCTACCAAGGCGTGCTCTTTCATCCCACTATCTTTTTACATTTCCCTGCTTCTGTTAGGGAAACTTTGAAAACATCTACTTCTCAGGCTGTGTAACAACGTGGAAACACTAATATGTTTATTAAATAAAAGAACAAAGGTATTATTATTAGGAATTCAATATTTAAGTCTCGGAAAAACGTAATCCAACCCCTGAAAGTTTCTAATATTAGACGTGGAACGCAGTTTAACTCAGACTGCCGCTTACAGGCGGATATTTAACCAGCGGATAACATATTTCCATTCTCTACGTTCTTCAGTAGTTTCAACAGGATAGGAGCTGTAAAATCGAGTCTCTGTTCCACTCACAAGCAGTGTTTCTAGAATAAATAGCTTAGGCGTTTCTCTTATTTCTCTTTGTTTGCATGTGATTCATTCTAGTTCAGAAGCCACGTGTTATCAATTTGATGTCTCTTTTTTAAAGAACGTAAGGATTCAGTTTCATACCCCAAGTTTAAACTTGCATGAAACTTCAAGCAGACGCATCAATTGATTTGTATTTTTGAGACCCCATATCAGACCTCTACAACTGTGTTTTTTTTTTGAGACCCATTTTAGACCTTTACAACTAATTTACTTGTTGGTTTTAGTGACCAAAAGTCATATTCGGTAGATATTCGATTTTGTAAAGTATGCCACTATAAAATGTACAGATATTCACCATTAGATTTATGGCAGGCGAAGTATTTTTAACAGCATGGTTTGTTGACTAGACAATAACATTAACAATAACAGGTTACTTACCGTTAAATTGTATGTTAATACAAGGGTAGCTTACTAAACACAACATACAGGCCTACTCACGGCATTCCAAATAAAAACCTTTACGCGTGTATGTTTGTTTTATATATCTACCTTCTTCACTACGCATGTATCTTTGTTTTCTACATCTATCTTCTTCACTACGCATGTATCTTTGTTTTCTACATCTATCTTCTTCACTACGCGTGTATGTTTGTTTTATATATCTATCTTCAGTTACTATTTACCTCGCTATCTATGTATCTATCATACTCCTAATGGCAAATGTCTTTCTGTTCTGTTTGTATTCATCCATTTATCTTCTAAATACTACCTGCCTCTTTATCTGTATACATATTTATCTTCCTGACTACAAATGTCTTTCTGTTCTGTTTGTATTCATCTCTTTATCTTCTAATTACTACCTGCCTCTCTATCTGTATATATTTATCTTCCTGACTACAAATGTCTTTCTGTTCTCTTTGTATTCATCCCTTTATCTTCTAATTACTACCTGCCTCTCTATCTGTATATATTTATCTTCCTGAC